ATTTATAGGCCACCCTTTTCCCTGAGGGGACTCAGGGCGGCTTACAAAGTATAGGGAAGGGAGTACACACAATGACATATAAAACAGTACGTAATTAAAAATAGAAGCAACGTTTATAGAAAAAAAGATCCCTTTTCCTCTTGATAGGAAAAAGAGGGTTCTCAGAAAGAGCTGCTTGACTGTGGGGATTTTTATCTGGAGTTGTATTGACATGTTGCAATAATATTCCAGAATGGAAGTGCTTTCTTTATAATACCCTCCCGAATGATAAATGTTGCTTCTATTTTTAATTACGTACTGTTTTATATGTCATTGTGTGTACTCCCTTCCCTATACGTTGTAAGCCGCCCTGAGTCCCCTCAGGGAAAAGGGCGGCCTATAAATAAATTTATCTATCTATCTAAATCTAATACATAATTTTAACTTCCATTGTTCAGCAAAATGGAAAATGCCTATCAATATGCCATTGCTATATCAGTTCCAGAAAATGAGGGCACAAAGTAGATAAGTTGATAGAAAACCATCTTATTTTGCTTCCAAGTACCAAATGTTTTAAATCTTTACCTACAGTGCATTGTTTTGCTACATATAAGGTTCACTCACTCACTTTTTTTTTAACCTTTCAGGGGTCAAACGCAGTCCTTCAGAAATGAAGGAAGGTAAAGTCAATCTGGAAAAAGGTGTCTCACCCTATCAAACCCTCGAAATAACCTACACTGAAGAAAACCTTGACAAACTGATTAATTTATGCCGTTACAATATTCTTTATAGCAAAGACTTCATCTTCCAAGCCATTCAAAGTGCCATACAGAAAAAGCAACACAGTGGGTCCAGAAATGATAAACAATGATCATTTGTCTCTTTAAAGAGAAGAAATCCAATATGTAACGTGGTGCATTGTTTGAGGTAATGCTAATTGGTTGTCATTATGCTGCAGTTTGTTGGATGCTTGGATAATTCTCACTCCTGATTGATTTAAAGCTAAATATACTGCTGTAGGCTTTCACGGTTGGTATTTGTTGGGCTTCGGGGTTTGTGATCGTGGTCTATAGAACAGGTGGTCTATAGAACAGGTGTTCTGATGTTAAACAGCAGCTCTGCTTTCAGAGGCAGAGTGGGCAGCTAAGCAGAAGCACAGGCCACTGAGCAGGGACTGACAAAGATCCTATCTTTATAATCAGGCATCCTGATTGGCAGGTTCCAATTGGTGCAGGTTGATGAGAGCTAAGAGAGACTAAAATATCACTTTGCCTCTGAAGATGCCAGACACAGCAGTTGGCAAAACATCAGGAAATCTGTTCTCTAGACCAGGCATCTCCAACCCTGGCCACTTTAAGATTTGTGGACTTCCAGAATTCAGAGCTGGTTGAGGAAAGCTGAGCAAAGCTGGCTGAGAAACTCTGGGAGTTGAAGTCCACAAGTCTTAAGTTGCCAAGAATGGAGACCCCTGCTCTAGTCGATGGTCACTAAACGCTGAAGCCCAATGGCTTTAAACTCCTAATTTATTTGAAATCACTATCTTGCATCAGGTAAAGTCTAGTTTGTGTGCCTGTATAATCAGGCTATAGCTTGTTCTCTTAGGCCTAGTACTTATAATTCTATTATTTCTTCAATTTTCTTAAAAAGGCGAGATTAACAAAAGGCATACATTCAAATATAACCTATTAGTGTTATCCAACATTTACTGTTAGAAGTGATTTTAGGAGATGGTGTTGACTGAAATTGATGACATACTGTTTTCTGAAGTAATTGAACCACAATTATGTTTCTTTATAACATTGTAAGACAACTTATCCTCGATCACTGTATTGGACATGATGAGATGTGGTTGAATATTAACACTTGCAGAAAAATGTGAACTGACTTCACTTTGTTCAGTAAGTTAATTGCAATATATAAAAAAAGGTCAATATTTACTTTGTAAAATGAGAATTATTCTTTGTTATGACTGACACATTTCACATGTAAATGATAGCAGTTCAAAATGAGAAGTATTTTATTTTAAGTGGTATTTTAAGTGGAAATTTATCTGGAAATAAGTTCAGTAAATTTCACATGACTTATTTTTGAATTAAAACTCGGAAGTTTAAAACATGAGAGGCAATTTAAGGATTAACCACTGGCATTAATTTGTTTGAAATTCTAAAACCAACAGATAGTGAATCAAATTCTGATTATATGCTTTCAATCATGAGCCTATAGCTTAATTTATTATCATAATTTATTGAAATTATCTGTGCTTTGAGACATTCATTTAATGTATTTCTGTACTGTATTCCATATAATTGCTCCTTGAAGATGTCTATTCTTTTAATTCTCTAATGACAGTGCTGAAACTTCAAATATTATCTCACATGTGGAATAATGATAAATGAAGGACAATCTTTTTTATCATGAAGATCTGATTAAAACTCAACTGTGGAAGTTTAACTCTTGGTAGCTGTTGCCGGACAGCTATTGGTTTGCTATTTTTTGTGATTTAATTTATTGAACCCTCTCCCATGACACGTTAACTTTTTTTTGAAAAAGATTTACTCATTTATCCACCTTAGAATGGAAAACATGGGGAGGAACCGAAGTCGCGTTAACACAACATGCGATCTCAATGTTCTGAGATCGCAGTCAATACTTTTGTCTCTGGGTGGTCTAAACGGACCTAAACTGTCCCGCAGGGATGGTGAACAGGAAGAATACATCTTGTTGATTACAGGGACATTGCAAAGTCTCTGATTGATCCAACAGACCCTCTTCAAGCCGATGACAAAAAATCCAGCTAAATGGCTGATGAAGTTGGGGCGGCTCCAAAATGGAAGGATATGGAAAGAGAAAGTGTTTTCAGCTGGTGAGGAATTTTTACTGTTTTAAAAGTGATTGCCTATAAAAAAACTTAAAATTTATTTAAATTGGAGAACAGAAGAGAGTCCATACTAAGTTGATTAAGGAGATTATTAGAGGACTGATGCCACAAATGGCAGAAGATATGACACTGTTTTGTTACTGGAAAGATACATGTTGATAGATGGAAGAGTATAATTTAAAACTAGCTAAACATAGCAAAATTTAGTGATAATAGATATAGTTAAATAAATAATTGATAATGATACTAATGTATACAATGTGTATTATGATAAGTAATAACTGGATATGAATATTGAATGGTATCCATGAAAAGAAGATTAGAAACCTTTTGGATTATATATAAAGGTTAATAATAATAATAATAATCATCATCATCATCATCATCATCATCATCATCATCATCATCATC